GCAGCGCACTACAGACGCAAAGCAGCGCACTACAGACGCAAAGCAGCGCGTTACAAACGCACTGCGCCACAGTCACGCTACAGTCGCCACGTGACGCCATACAATCACACAGCGCCCATATTTTCACTAATGTTTCACACTTGCAAGGTAAAAGATTAAATTTTTTTAAATGTTGTTCAGTACAGCCATTGATGTGCGTTTTGACATGAAGTGAATGATTTAAACAGAATCTGTAAACTATCATGATTGTTTCTTTCTTCTTAAAAATGTTTATATAATATATTTCTGTAATTAATTGAATTGAATGGACATCATTGAAGTTGTTCAATGTAAAATAAAGCTTGAAATATTTTTTCACTTTCCACGTTTTTTTGTCTTCTATGTTATTATTATGCATTATACGAGTCTTTTTTTGTTTGTTTATATTATTTATAACATAAACGGATTATTACCAATAATATATATCGAATTAAAAAGTCACAAAAAAAGTAAACAAGTTGGGCATATACCCGCTTCTATATCCTATCATCCACCCGTGCAGGTACCACTCGAAATTTCACAAACAACATGCAAACATTTTATTCGATATGATCTTAGGAATACGAGAGCGTTATTCTCTTTCTACATTATCTATTACTTCTTGAATGTCCTTGCCACAATCACTAGTTTAAAGTTTATGATTAAAATTTCATTAAAACGCCACGATTCAAAGAATGGCTATTAATATAAAATGATTGATTTGTCCTCAAGGTAGATTGTGGATTAGGAATCAAGTTAATCAGATTATGTTGAATTGATGTATTACTTGTACATATTCTGCATTATCTTTGTTTCCTTGTGGGGTTCCATGTATAATTGTTGAGAACATAATTCGACTGCGAGACTTCTACAGGTTTCGTTCGTTTTGTGATTGCAATTACACATGTTTATGTTACGTGACCTTTTATTCACGGAAACGTTCGATTTGTACAAACAAGTGACTTTTAAGTAGCGGCAAACGTATTTATAACTGTTGCTTTCAAGTATGTTCTGAATGGCCTTGTTCAAGCAATATACATCTTTGTGTTTCACAACAAATCACCTAAAATTCACAAAAAAGTAACGCGGCTGTAGTTGAAAATGTCTTATCGTCTGCGCAATTATTATCACTTGATCTGTGTCACGTGCTCTTCTACGCTCCATGATTCGTCAGTTATGTTTTTGATAAGAGATTAGAATCCTATGAATGTGCTGTTATCAACAAATCCACATTTTTGTTGGATAGAGTTGTCAACCATTCGAACTCCAAAATGAAATGTTGACACCATTCAAAAACTAGACTTGCATCACTTTTTTTAGCTTATCAGCTTTTATGATACGTACATTGATTTTAATTAAATGGACAACTTTCTATATGGCATAAATGATAATTTCGATTTATCGCTAATATAACTGTGGAAAACGGCTTTATTCGACTACTGTCCCCACCTTTCAAAGCGACAGAGTAGACTATTTAAAAAGTCTGTACATTCATGCAAGAGTCCATATTGATATTGAATGCTGATTGGTTACATGGTAAACGATTGAAGATTTGAAGATTTTTGAATGTTAAACTCCCATCACAACATTTGCGTTTATTTGTGTATTCCTCACACAAAACGACATCAGAGCAATATATCACGTACGTATTTTCGGGTAAAATAATTCCTTCAGCGCACCGATGAACCCGGGGAGGGGCACTTGGATTGGGAACTTGGTGAGCATTCTCGAACAGATAGTCACGTCAATGCACGTACGGTGTTGAGGGTTATTAAAATCGAAAAACAAAACAAAATAAGGGCATACATTTTTTCAAAATGATATGATAAACGCAAAAATTGATATTTCAATCTCCATATCTTAATTTCTTTGTGGGAGTCTCCCGAGCCATCCCACGGACGAATCTCTGGGATAAATCAGTACCCCCATCATACATGACGTTCAGAGTTTTGTGGAGTATGATTATATATACTTTGACAGTTAGTCCTCGTTAAACGTAAACAATGTAGTTAAATAGCAGTTTATATATACACTAAACCACTCTCTTCGCGCGTTGAGCCGCCTTTCCTTTGTGCGTTTACTGCCCTCTGGTGGGCCGACACGGATATCTTTCGTTTTTTGGTACTCCTCCACCTGTAGTGAACTGATGTACACAATGTTATGATAACATACAAGAATTTATTTATAATTACCTACAATTTGCGCCGTATATTCTAATTTAAAAGTCTGTAGATAAGTAAATTTTAGAGGGCGAATGTGTTCCCAAAATTGGTACTTGCATTTTTTTTAGAAGCAGTCATGTTATCACATCAAACTAACATATCTGAAAAAAATCTAAATCTAATCCACGATTACCTAATTCATTATAATGTCCGAGTCTTCGATGTCGTTAATGGTAACGCTTGAAGTCGACGATTGATATAACATGAAATTCTCACAATGCCAAAAAAGCGTGATTTCTCAAGTTTTTCTTCGATCTTCGCCTGCTGCGTGTAGTAATAACGTTCATTGTGCCGGGTGTAAGCTGTTTCGTTCAAAATGTCCCCAGTAAATTGCTTTTTACATTATTGATTTGTTGTGAGAGAGTCTCATCAACGATGCAGGTAGGAAAAGTCCCGTGAAATCGAAATACATGTCTAGGTAATTGCCATCGATAGAATGATATGTGTCTTAAATAAAAATACTGGAAAATCAATCACATGAAACGTACACGGTACATTACACCATGAAGTGTGTTTTGCGTAGACCCACAATGCATAGCATCATCCTGTTTCTTACTAAAATAATACTTTCAATAGAAATGGATAATTATTTTATGAAATGAATTTCATTTTACTACACGAAACATTCACGATGCATATATTATAATAACGTAATATCTTGTATTACAAATCGGATATTCGAATTTGTCAGGCTCTGTGTCTTTGTAATTAGACTCAGTTTGTTCTTGATTACTCGCAGTCGAATATATCCCCGTAGCGGCACTCCCATGATGCAATCGATAAGAACACGTGCAGATAGGTAAACATCACACGCGCACGCGCATAGGGTCGCAGTGGGATTGTAATCATACGATTGTGAACCTTCTATTAGATTGAGTTATATTGTAAACGGATTCGATGATGATACATGTCCAATCCAAGAAAATGTCTGGTCCTCAAAGACGTTTGCGGAAAGGACTAGTAATTTGCTGATTTAACTGATCGCATTGCGAGATAGAGATTTAGTATCAAAGCTGATAAACCTGCTAAAGGATTACCGAGGTTACGATAGGACAATTCGTGCTGAATTGATATTGCTTTGTCGTTTGGCGATAACAATGGATACGGAGAGCGGTAAACTTTAAAGAAGATTCAGGACTTGTATTTGTCTTATTTTTCATCAACGTTACAGTTCTCCTGTATCGTATGTGTTACTAGTCCATTGTCCTAATGTTAGGCGTTAGGTGATTTCAAAACCAATCTGTCGTGTTACGTTGTTGGTATACACCCCTGAATATCGAAAATAATTATCCGAATGCGTCACTTGGTGGTGCAGTTATCAAACAACTCTGACTTGTACGAGTGATCAAAACTCGCTGTTCGTCACCCACTCGATGACTTCCTTACTTCGAATACACGGATGGAAACACTCAATTCCAAATCAAATTAAACACTATCGTCCAGAAAAAAAAAAAGCTTTTACGTTCTTACTTCAGTTATTACGTTAAGGATTTGAACAAATCAAATAGCATATGTGTACTGAAGTGGGTGTGAATGGTCTCGCATCGGAATTATAATCATCTCCACAAAACATCGAATCGTGTGTCGGTGAGTATGATAAATTCACATTGTATTTTGTTAATGACAATGGCGGCGACGTTCTGTAGTATGTATATGATCGTCAGAGTATTATTTTTTCATGAAAATGATTTAATTCGCTGCACAAAATGTAATTAATTTCATTTGTTGCCGCAACTGGAACACCCCTTCTTACATACACTGTAACGGAATATCGCGCTGTTAAAAGTGATTATATAATAACAATAATATACGATATTATTACTTCATAAAACTCATTATTATACTTCTACTATGGCAATTTGTGTTACCGATAACTGCTTCTAAGAACTATGCAAATTAGGACGCGGAGCCATTAATTATTCAAATTACAACGTTATTAGATTGTGTTGACCTCATCAGAAGATCAACGTGAACACAATAGTTGCCATTCGAGAATATATATTTTTTTCGTATTCTAAATCAAATATTGACTATTCATACTACAAATGTTTTTTGACTGACTGCATCACGTAACTGCGTACCATCGGAATCAACGAGTTATCTTTGGACGCCGGTATTCCGGTCGCTGCTATTCAAGTTACCTGCTTCTCCCGGTCCCTACTATATACAGTTCTCTACTCTATTCGATGCGGTGATTGCATAATTGTGCCAAACAGTCTTTTACTGGCCAGGGATATTTCTATTATGGGAAAAAACGATCAGAATTTATGTCAGTCGAGCTCACTCGTTCTGTTGTGTAAATTTCCAATGCTTGGCCCTTCTCGGACAATTTATTATATTCTAGGCATATTATTAATATTCTTACATTGCCGCCAGTATACCATAGCCTGGCATTAATGTCAGGTTTTAACTGAGTATTTTCATTCACACTTAGAATCCTAAAACACACTTTAATATAGTTACTTCTCTCTGCGCAACTCAGGCATTCTCTTTATGTTTATGAATATTTAAAAATGTTAATAGCAGTTGAATCCAACCAGCCCATCAACAAGCAAGGCGCGCAGCGACGTCATTTGAAAACGTTCCAATGTTGTTCAATCAGAGAATAAAAACCTCGTTTCAATTTTATTTGTGAAAATTAAAAATATTTATAAAGATGAAGGGAATGCCTTTGTTGCCCTGAGAGTACATGCCATATTGGTATAGGTT